ATGTACCTGAAAGAGTATAAAATTAAACAAAACTTCAACACAACAGTCTAAAAATAAGTAAAGAAAGTTAAAAAAAATAAAATAAGTTCTGAAGAAAAGTGTTTGTAAATAAAAAAAAGAAGATTAAAAAAATTCCTTGAAATTGAATGTAAAAAGATAAAAGAAAAGTAAATAAATAAAAGTTATTAACTAAGATACAAAAGAAGTATTAAAATAAATAAAAATGAAGAAAAGATTATTGTTTAACAAAGAAATTAATAAATATATATGTAGTTAATAAAAGAAACAAAAAAGATATAAAGAAGTAAGCAATAAAGAAAAGAGTTTTAAAAAAATAAGTAGAAAAGGTAAAAAAATTTAAAAATTAAAACAAAACAAAGAGAAGTGATGTAATTAAAAAAATTAGTTTGTCCTGGGAAAAGCTAAAGTTGCCAAGTGAAAATAAATGAAAAGAAGGTAAAGATCAGAAAAACTAAACCTATAAAAGAGACAAGTACAAAAAAATAAGCCTACCCCTGTTGAAGCGCACCCCGACGATCCTGGAAGTGGCTGGAATTGCTGATGTGGTCCCTGTTAGGTGGCTGGACTGAAGGATGTACCTGAAACAATATCAGGTTTGACAAAATTCTTCAAGACAGGGGATTAAAAACAAGTCTAAATTAAGAAAGTTAAAAAGTGTTAAAGTAAATTAAAAAGATCTAATAAAAAGTTTAAGCCAAGAAAAAAAAAACAAAGTTAATAAAAATTAAGAAAAGATATAAATGAATATAAACTTAAGAAAACAAAGTGTTTTATAGGCAAAGAAATAATTAAATACGTACCATTCCTCGAAATGTCCCTATAAAGACGATCATCGAATTGGTCCATTGTAGGGGTGCTCCTTGTATGATAATTGGGATGGAAGATGTGCCTGAAAGAGTATATGATTTCATAAAATTCTTCAACATAAGGATCTAAAGTTTAAGTCAAGAAAGTTGAAATAAAAAAAATAAAAAGAAATGTGGCAAAACAAATAAAAGTAATTTTAAAAAATCGTTTAACATTAAATCTAAAGAAATAAACAGAAACAAGGCAGGGTAAGAAAATAAAAGATGTTAACGAAGTTATGAAAGTAATAAAATAAATAAAAACTAAGGAACGATTTTAATGAATGCTATTTAACAAAGAAAGTAATAAATGCCTACCATTCTTCAAAGTGTCCTTATAATGACGATCCTTGAATTGACCTATTGCAGGGGTGGTTTTTGTTCAATGACTGGATTGGAAGATGTTCCTGAAAATAAAAGATTGTAAGTATAATATAAAAGTTCCAAACAATAGTGGCAAAATAAATAAGTCAGGGTAAGTAAATAAAAGATGATAATAGAGTTATGAAAGTAATATTAATAATAATAACTAAGGAATGATTTTAATGAAAGCTATTTACCAAAAAAATTAATAAATGCCTACCATTCTTCAAAGCGTCCTTACAAAGACGATCCATGACTTGGCCCATTGCTGGGGTGGTTTTTGTTTGATAGCTGGGCTGGAAGATGTACCTGAAAGTATAAGATTGTAAGTCTAAGACAAGAAAATTAAAATAAAGAAAATAAAATAAGTTCCAAAGAAAANAAATAAAAAAGAAGAGACCCCAAAAATGATCGCAATCCATTTGGCTACCCTGATAACGGATGTGGCTACCCATTAATGTGATGCTTAGCCAAACGTAGATATCAATTTCTTCCAACAAAAGACTTCGTTTATATCATTATGGCGATGTTAGCCTTTTGCTTTACATTGGTTTTTTGACAGTAGTTTTATGTTTCAGGACTACGAAACAGCTTGAATAGTTTCTCTATTTATATGAATATATCACTGGGTATATATTATGTATCTTTCTATCTTGTTTAACTACTGTTAGTTTCTTCCTCAAAAATGTGAAATTTCGCAACTTATTTAAAATTATTGTGAAATGTTTTTGAACTCAAAATCAGTTAATGACCTGGTCACATTTCTTCTAAAAAATAAATTTGTTCAGAACCAGCCAAATTGTTCCAAAGTTCAGATGTAAAAAAAAATTGTCATGTACATAACACACACAAACATACAGTTCTTACGCATATACTAGTTCAATGTACCTACTAAAAGTTACAGATGCTGAACACGAAAATAAAACATCATGTACTCTTTTAAATCTTAAATGCTTTTAACGTGCATGGATGCTTTTACGGTTTTGTTCAAGTTAAATTTAAAAATACCATGTTAGGGAACTATATCGTGTAACTTCGAAAATTCGAAAACACTTCGTCAATTTTTATTTTTTATGCTCTGCGAATGTAACTTCTGGTTGAAACATAGAACAGCTACTGTGGTATTCTTTGTTTTATATTGTTTACTCATTATATGGTTATACTACAACATATCTAGAATATGTCAGACATGAATCAAGGAATCACTTAGAATCTTGCCATAGGAACAAGACACCGCTCAAAAAAAATCTCTTTGATTTGACAATTGAAATTATCGCACATAGAGGAGGGCGATCCTGGGTAGAGAGGTCGATTCCTAAAAATTGTAATATGCTTAATAAGAATATAATTCCAATTTTACCAGTACCACTTGAAATTAAAGTCGAAAAATGTCATATTTTAAGCGAGAAACTAAAATATATCGAAATGAATGTGACATTTAAATTCAACATACACGAATTTGTTAGTTATACGTATATTTAAGATTGACGAAAACCTTTAGTTAACTTTGACGGCCCCTTGGTGGAAAAAGCGTTAGTCATCGAATCTAAAAATGTTTTCCTTTGAAACGCAACTTAGGGATCCCCCTCTCCATCCTAATAATTGCCACAATAATCTCAGCTAGCTCATCTAGAAGGACTTAGTATTCGAGTGATTTTTCTTCTTCATTATTTTTAAATATTACACAGAGAAAATGAAAAACGAAAATTTACCTAAATATTTATTTATCGCACTAGCCCGTTGCTTCATAACCGAAAATAATAAAAATTACGATTTGGATCAGAATTTGTTAAAATAAAGAGAATAAATTAAGTTCCAAACAAAAGTAGCAAAATAAACAAAAAGAAAAGTTTTAAAAAGGTGTTTAAAACTAAATCTACAGAAATAAAGAGAAATAAGGCAAAATAAGTAAATAAAAGTAGTTAATGAACTTATGAATGTAGTGTTAAAATAAATAAAAACTAAGGAAAGATTTTATTTAATGAATGCTATTTAACAAAGAAAGTAATAAATGCCTACCATTCCTTAAAGTATCCTTATAAAGATGATCCTTGAATTGGGGTGGTTCTTGTTCCATAGCTGGACTGGAAGATGTATCTGAAAGCGTAAAAGATTTAACAAAATTCTTCTGCACAAATAACAAATAAAAAAATTAAATAGGTTCTCAAGTAATGCTCAAACAAATAAAAAGAAAAAAAGCTTTAAAAAATAGTTTCAAATTAAATATAACGGAGTCAAGGGAAGGTATGTAAATAAATAAGATATTAACGGAGTGTAAAAGAAGTTAACGAAGTTATGAATAAAGTATGTAAATTTGAAACAATGTGTTTTATAAAAAAAAAAAGTCTAACAAAAAAAAATTAATATCTACCATTCCCCGAAGTGTCCCTGTAAAGACGGTGCTCTAATTGGTCCACTGTAAGGGTGGCTTTTATTTGGTGACATGTACCTGAAAGAATAGATTTGAATAAAAGTTCTCAATACAAAAAAAAAATTAAAAAAGAGAGATGTGAAAACAAACCCTTCAACTAGGGCAACAAAAATTTGAAATAATGATACAATGTTAATAAAATGAAAGATTTATCATCAATTTCTACAGCAAAAGAAACAATCAACAGCAAATGTTTTGAAAATATATTCTTAACAACAANTTCTTTTACATTCAGTACAGTGTTTTACAGATCGAAAACTGACGTCCCCTTTTTTATATTTAGAATTTTTGCGTAATTTTCACATTATATCTATTAAATTTTGATTAATTGAAGCCATAATCAAAACCTGGTGGTACTACGTGGCTCTTCTAACATTTTTATATAAATTTCACCATTTTGGACATTTAGTATAATAGTTTTACAGGTCGAAAATTTAAGCGCGCGTTTTTATTTATAAAACTTCAACTTTTACGTTTTATATGTATAGGCAATATGGTTCTATCGGCTGTATGTAAAGTTGCATAACGTTTAATTAGTAGCAACATGATACATAGTCTTTTATTCTTCCTTTATTAAAAATTAGTTTTCTTAATTTCTAACCGCACCCAGAAACCCCTTACATCATTATGTTTTACTATCTCTTTTTCTAAATTTTGGGACTTCAGTTATCTATACTTTAAAATTTGATGCAGCTTTTCTGTTTATTATATGCCTTTTTCCAAATCATTTGTTTTTGTTTATTTAACTTTATCAGCATGTTTCTTTCTTATTATTTATTTTTCTTTCATCCTACAGGAATATTGTACCACTGTATGCTGTGGGGGCTGTATGGGGCATTGATCGTAGCAGTCCTGTTTCACTCCATACCATAAAAGTGCCTTTTTTCCACTGGGTATAGAAGAACTTGTTCTCTATTAGTAAGGAAAGAGTCCTCAGCAACTAATTGGTAATTGACAATATTTATTAACATCACGTGATTCCTCATAGTTTTTCACATAGAATTCGTCCTTTGGATCTTTAAGGATAATTGTTTAGCAGGTCGGAAATTGACATGCGCGTTCTTATGTGTTATAATTGTTAAGGTAATTTTCATATTATATCAGTTGAATTTTATTTAATTCAAGCTGTATTGGAAAACTGTTGGCATCACGTGATTCCTCATAGTTTTTCACATAGAATTCGTCCTTTGGATCTTTAAGGATAATTGTTTAGCAGGTCGGAAATTGACATGCGCATTTTTATGTTTAAATTTTGCTGATAATTTTTATATAATGTCAACTAAATTTTCTTTAATTCAGGTTGTACTGAAAAACTGTTAGCACCATGTGATTCCTCATACATTTCAGATAAATTTCGCCGTTTTGATCTTTCATTATAATTGTTTTTTCAGTTGAAATGTAGTTGTGTGTATGTATTTATTTATAAAGTGGTATTTAGCGGACGTCCTGCATGTATTTATATGCAACGTGGATATTTCTAGTGTATGTAAAGTTGCATAATGTCTGATTAATACACATGCGGGTTTTATTGTTTTTCAGTTGAGAATTAGTTTTTTAAATAATTTTTTTACATAATTTTACTAATAAAAGTATTCATTAATGAGATCTAATTAAAATTGTTTTGAAGCGGTTCCTTTGTGAGTTTTAATAAAATAATCAAGAAGGATATTTATGGTGCTTTAGAGCAAATTCGTTCACTGTATTATTGGAAAACTGTTGGCATCACGTGATTCCTCATAGTATTTCACATANAAAAATAAACTACAACCAACTAGACAATGGTACAGATTTCAAACCATGAAAGAGCTTTTAACTTTGGTTCGTTAGTTTCCGAAATTAGTCCCCACATATTATTAAAAAGACAAACTTAGACATTCCTTTTGTAATACAAGTTTAAAAAGGTTTAATTTACACAAATATTACGCATTAATTTTCAAAACACATTTTTAATGGTTATTTATACTAAAACGAGCCAAAATGTCTTGTTCTGTCGGTCGAGCGTTCAAGTATACGACTGTTAAAGAGAGCAAGTATTCGGTGAAAGAAAGAGAGAAAGTTACGCTCGAACAAAAGCCAAAAAATATATTCTTAACAACAAGAAATGCGTTAAAATATTTAAACAACATTAAAAATAAACTACAACCAACTAGACAATGGTACAGATTTCAAACCATGAAAGAGCTTTTAACTTTGGTTCGTTAGTTTCCGAAATTAGTCCCCACATATTATTAAAAAGACAAACTTAGACATTCCTTTTGTAATACAAGTTTAAAAAGGTTTAATTTACACAAATATTACGCATTAATTTTCAAAACACATTTTTAATGGTTATTTATACTAAAACGAGCCAAAATGTCTTGTTCTGTCGGTCGAGCGTTCAAGTATACGACTGTTAAAGAGAGCAAGTATTCGGTGAAAGAAAGAGAGAAAGTTACGCTCGAACAAAAGCCAAAAAATATATTCTTAACAACAAGAAATGCGGTTAAATATTTAAACAACATTAAAAATAAACTACAACCAACTAGACAATGGTACAGATTTCAAACCATGAAAGAGCTTTTAACTTTGGTTCGTTAGTTTCCGAAATTAGTCCCCACATATTATTAAAAAGACAAACTTAGACATTCCTTTTGTAATACAAGTTTAAAAAGGTTTAATTTACACAAATATTACGCATTAATTTTCAAAACACATTTTTAATGGTTATTTATACTAAAACGAGCCAAAATGTCTTGTTCTGTCGGTCGAGCGTTCAAGTATACGACTGTTAAAGAGAGCAAGTATTCGGTGAAAGAAAGAGAGAAAGTTACGCTCGAACAAAAGCCAAAAAATATATTCTTAACAACAAGAAATGCGTTAAAATATTTAAACAACATTAAAAATAAACTACAACCAACTAGACAATGGTACAGATTTCAAACCATGAAAGAGCTTTTAACTTTGGTTCGTTAGTTTCCGAAATTAGTCCCCACATATTATTAAAAAGACAAACTTAGACATTCCTTTTGTAATACAAGTTTAAAAAGGTTTAATTTACACAAATATTACGCATTAATTTTCAAAACACATTTTTAATGGTTATTTATACTAAAACGAGCCAAAATGTCTTGTTCTGTCGGTCGAGCGTTCAAGTATACGACTGTTAAAGAGAGCAAGTATTCGGTGAAAGAAAGAGAGAAAGTTACGCTCGAACAAAAGCCAAAAAATATATTCTTAACAACAAGAAATGCGGTTAAATATTTAAACAACATTAAAAATAAACTACAACCAACTAGACAATGGTACAGATTTCAAACCATGAAAGAGCTTTTAACTTTGGTTCGTTAGTTTCCGAAATTAGTCCCCACATATTATTAAAAAGACAAACTTAGACATTCCTTTTGTAATACAAGTTTAAAAAGGTTTAATTTACACAAATATTACGCATTAATTTTCAAAACACATTTTTAATGGTTATTTATACTAAAACGAGCCAAAATGTCTTGTTCTGTCGGTCGAGCGTTCAAGTATACGACTGTTAAAGAGAGCAAGTATTCGGTGAAAGAAAGAGAGAAAGTTACGCTCGAACAAAAGCCAAAAAATATATTCTTAACAACAAGAAATGCGTTAAAATATTTAAACAACATTAAAAATAAACTACAACCAACTAGACAATGGTACAGATTTCAAACCATGAAAGAGCTTTTAACTTTGGTTCGTTAGTTTCCGAAATTAGTCCCCACATATTATTAAAAAGACAAACTTAGACATTCCTTTTGTAATACAAGTTTAAAAAGGTTTAATTTACACAAATATTACGCATTAATTTTCAAAACACATTTTTAATGGTTATTTATACTAAAACGAGCCAAAATGTCTTGTTCTGTCGGTCGAGCGTTCAAGTATACGACTGTTAAAGAGAGCAAGTATTCGGTGAAAGAAAGAGAGAAAGTTACGCTCGAACAAAAGCCAAAAAATATATTCTTAACAACAAGAAATGCGGTTAAATATTTAAACAACATTAAAAATAAACTACAACCAACTAGACAATGGTACAGATTTCAAACCATGAAAGAGCTTTTAACTTTGGTTCGTTAGTTTCCGAAATTAGTCCCCACATATTATTAAAAAGACAAACTTAGACATTCCTTTTGTAATACAAGTTTAAAAAGGTTTAATTTACACAAATATTACGCATTAATTTTCAAAACACATTTTTAATGGTTATTTATACTAAAACGAGCCAAAATGTCTTGTTCTGTCGGTCGAGCGTTCAAGTATACGACTGTTAAAGAGAGCAAGTATTCGGTGAAAGAAAGAGAGAAAGTTACGCTCGAACAAAAGCCAAAAAATATATTCTTAACAACAAGAAATGCGTTAAAATATTTAAACAACATTAAAAATAAACTACAACCAACTAGACAATGGTACAGATTTCAAACCATGAAAGAGCTTTTAACTTTGGTTCGTTAGTTTCCGAAATTAGTCCCCACATATTATTAAAAAGACAAACTTAGACATTCCTTTTGTAATACAAGTTTAAAAAGGTTTAATTTACACAAATATTACGCATTAATTTTCAAAACACATTTTTAATGGTTATTTATACTAAAACGAGCCAAAATGTCTTGTTCTGTCGGTCGAGCGTTCAAGTATACGACTGTTAAAGAGAGCAAGTATTCGGTGAAAGAAAGAGAGAAAGTTACGCTCGAACAAAAGCCAAAAAATATATTCTTAACAACAAGAAATGCGGTTAAATATTTAAACAACATTAAAAATAAACTACAACCAACTAGACAATGGTACAGATTTCAAACCATGAAAGAGCTTTTAACTTTGGTTCGTTAGTTTCCGAAATTAGTCCCCACATATTATTAAAAAGACAAACTTAGACATTCCTTTTGTAATACAAGTTTAAAAAGGTTTAATTTACACAAATATTACGCATTAATTTTCAAAACACATTTTTAATGGTTATTTATACTAAAACGAGCCAAAATGTCTTGTTCTGTCGGTCGAGCGTTCAAGTATACGACTGTTAAAGAGAGCAAGTATTCGGTGAAAGAAAGAGAGAAAGTTACGCTCGAACAAAAGCCAAAAAATATATTCTTAACAACAAGAAATGCGTTAAAATATTTAAACAACATTAAAAATAAACTACAACCAACTAGACAATGGTACAGATTTCAAACCATGAAAGAGCTTTTAACTTTGGTTCGTTAGTTTCCGAAATTAGTCCCCACATATTATTAAAAAGACAAACTTAGACATTCCTTTTGTAATACAAGTTTAAAAAGGTTTAATTTACACAAATATTACGCATTAATTTTCAAAACACATTTTTAATGGTTATTTATACTAAAACGAGCCAAAATGTCTTGTTCTGTCGGTCGAGCGTTCAAGTATACGACTGTTAAAGAGAGCAAGTATTCGGTGAAAGAAAGAGAGAAAGTTACGCTCGAACAAAAGCCAAAAAATATATTCTTAACAACAAGAAATGCGGTTAAATATTTAAACAACATTAAAAATAAACTACAACCAACTAGACAATGGTACAGATTTCAAACCATGAAAGAGCTTTTAACTTTGGTTCGTTAGTTTCCGAAATTAGTCCCCACATATTATTAAAAAGACAAACTTAGACATTCCTTTTGTAATACAAGTTTAAAAAGGTTTAATTTACACAAATATTACGCATTAATTTTCAAAACACATTTTTAATGGTTATTTATACTAAAACGAGCCAAAATGTCTTGTTCTGTCGGTCGAGCGTTCAAGTATACGACTGTTAAAGAGAGCAAGTATTCGGTGAAAGAAAGAGAGAAAGTTACGCTCGAACAAAAGCCAAAAAATATATTCTTAACAACAAGAAATGCGTTAAAATATTTAAACAACATTAAAAATAAACTACAACCAACTAGACAATGGTACAGATTTCAAACCATGAAAGAGCTTTTAACTTTGG